GGGGGGACGCTGGGGGCTTCCCAGGCTTCTCCATTCCAGGGTTCCTTCCCATCGTGACCTCATTGTAAGGAAAGCTCTCCCAAAAGTGCAGAAGCACTTGGCAAGCACAGCGCCCGCCATCCCACCCCAGGCACTGTCCCGGGGAGCATCTGGGGTTGAGCACAGGGCTCACACTGGAAGGATGTCACAGGCGAGGCAGGCCCGGAGCACCCCCTGCTCTGCTAGGACTGGGAGGAGTTTTTCATTGGCCCTTACACCACCACATGGTTCCTCCAGAGCCTCAGTGACGGGCAGGGCTGCCCAGGGGGACCCCTCCTCTGGACACTCCCTATCCCTGGGGCCCAGCTCAGTCTAGCCCCACCCCACACCAATCTCACACAGCCAGGCCCTGCCCTAGGGGTATTTGAGGCTGAGGTTGGGGCCAGGACCCATCCTGGAGAACCCAGAGCCCTCCCTCCCTGAGGAGAAAGAGGCCCCTGGAGCCCCTGGAGATGTTTTCCTCTCAGCTTCCAGAGAGAGGGCAAGTCAGCCAGGGGTGGACAAGCCCTTGGCTCACTTTCCAGCCAATGTCAGCTCCTCTCGGGGTGCATTCCCACCAAGCATGGGCACGCTCTGTTGCCCCCCAGGTTATCAGTCAGGCTGAACCGGCCTTGGAGCCAAGTGGCCTTGGGGGAGCACCTTTGTCCAAGAGCCACGACCCCACCCACATGGTCTACCAGAGGAAGAGAGTTCATAGTCTCTCTGGGGGGACTACCTGGACCAGAGGCAGAGGGGCTCTGCTCCGGCACCTGCTGTCCCCAAATCCACTTATCACTCACCCTGAAGCTCTGGGACATCTACATCCTAGAGGACACCATGTGCTCACAGCCATGGCATACACCACCCTCGAGGTGCACAGAAGTGACCGTGTGTGCAGGGCTGAGCGCCCAGGCCACAGAGAGGCTGCAGGCCTGAGCTGGGCAGGGCACCCTCCATTGAGGCTGAAGAAATGGGGTGGGCCCTTCACTGGTCAGTCTCCCCCTGCTGTCGCACCACTCATGGCACTCCAGGGCACAGGTAGACCCCCCCCAGGTGTGGCGCACATCAGAACACAGCAGCTGCCCCCTCGAGGTGGCTTGGGGACAGGTGGGAGCCTGGGTCTTCCCAGTGGGGCCCCTCCCAGCCTGAACACCTAGAATGCTTCCTGAGCTGCTCCTTTAAGGCTTGTGGTCCTGCAGGACACACCGTCCCAGCCCCACACCCTGGAGGACAGCGCTGTGCTCAGATACTGTCAGGCCTTGATAGCCGAGCTCAGAAGACTGGAGTGTGACCTTCCCTCCCCCACGTGGGCTCAAGCATAGGGTCTCCTCCTGATTCACCTTCTCAGGGCAATAAGTAGTAGGGAGAGCTGCCAGGTCCCCATGTGCCTCCTCTCCTGCTCTAAGGTTTGCAAACCAGGCTGGGGCTGTGCATCAGAGTGGACGCTGCAGACCCCAGGGGTCAGCAGCCTGGAGGGTAATTCACTGTCAGGCCAGGGCAGCCACGCAGGGAACCACAAGGACACCACGGGGCACACCCAGGGCAGGTCACACAGCTGGGGGGAGAAGCTCACCCAGTCTGCTTATTTCAGGCAGGACCTGAAGAGTCCCCCATGATGCCCCTGGGACTGGAGTGAGTGGCTCCAGGCCTCTCACCTCTGCCAGCACTGAGATGCTCCCCAAAGAGCATGGCTGGCCCACCCACCCAGCCTGACCCCTTGCCTGGCCAGGGTGTCCCCAATGCTGAGAAGTGGCAGCATGAGAGGGCCTCCGCCAGGGCCCTGGAGGCTCTGTGTCTGGCCTGCCTGCCCCAACGCAGGAAAGCTCTGGGGAGTGGCTGTGCCCACAGTGACCACATTCCCTCCTGGTGAACACTGAGACTGTGGGTAGGTAGCCCTCGAGAAGCCACAACACTGGGTCCCTTCAACGCTGCCTGGGCCACCCCCTGGGCCCCAGTGACAAGTCCCACTCAGCCCAACAAAGACCAAGCCCTGGGGCCCAAGATACCCCTCCTGCGCAAGCCCCAAATGTCCCTGCTACAGGGAAGCTGGACACTTGGGGGAAGGTGATAGAAAGCCTGGTAGCCCAAGACCCTGGCCAGCCAGCAGCACGCCCTGCCTCTTCAACACTGGCCTGGCCTGAACATGGGCCCTTGGAGGGCAGGGCACCCTGAACCTGACCCCTGCCTGAATGAGAATGAGCCCATCATCCTGGACAGCCCTGGATTCTGACGCAGGGCAAGATGGGCCCTCTCAGAGTAGTATGCAGCCACCTGCAGCCTGAGCATGCCCCACAAAGCCATGTGGGTTGGTGACCTGAGGCAGCTCTGGGAGTAACAAGCCACCCTAGTGTGTGTGTGGAGGGGGGCATGGCACCGGGACAGGCAGGCCAAACACACTCACACAGAGAGGGCAGCCAGGTTGACTACACTTGGGCCCTGAGTGGCCACCTGGCATGGACAGGGCAGGACAACCGCCACCTTTCAGGGTCCTAAAGCTCAGGAACTTCGGCCCCACCTGCAGTCGGGAAGCTCCGAGGTGCCAGATACCAGCCTCCCTGCTCTGATTTCAGCATCCCCCTAACGGGCACAGGACATGCCCTGCTCTGAGTTCCCCCCTTGCTAGTTAAAGGTCAGTTAAGCATTTTTTGTTAAAACGTTAACCTACACGACCAACCTGAACTTGCAGCACCCTATACCCTGAGCGGCAAAGCAGCCGCCGGCTGGAGGAAGCTGAGGTCCCACAGAGCCTCATGAGAGGCCACACACCCCACAGCTGCCCAGCCTCAGCCAGACGCCAGGGTCAAGACCATCAAATAATTTACTGCAATTGAACCTGCGCCCAGCGGGCCGGGACGGGGCTGCAAATAGAGGCACGGCTGGGGTGCCAGTGGCCTCAGTTCAAGACAGTCTGTGCAAAGCGTCCTGGGAGGTCCATGGTCACTCTGTCCACCAACCCTGGGCTGGCTGGGCTCTGGCGGCACTTCCTTCCTTCCTTCCCCTCCTCCCAGCATCCGGCACCTCCAGGGCCTGCGCCTGTGCTGGACGGGCACACAGGACCTGCAGGGATGTCAGGAGAGCAGGCACTTGCAGCTCATGCAGCCAGGGCCACCTTCATCCGGCGGGCTCAGCTTGCGCACCTTGTGCTGCCGGATCTCGCGCACCAGAGTGTAGAATGCGTCCTCCACGCCCTGGGGAGAAGGGGCGGCTCAGAGGGGGACTCGGCCTGAGGGCCCAGCAGGGGAGGAGACCTGGAGACCTAGGGACCCCTGCCTCAAACTCCAGCAGAATCTCAGCCCCTTCCCCACCTGCAACCACAAACGAGCTGTGCCCTGCTCGTCTCACTGCCCCAGGGCCCCCCCTCAGACACTTGCTCCTTAGTAGCTCCCCATAGGGCAGGGAGGCCCCAGGTCTGGCTCCAAGCTTGACCACCCGGTGCCCAGCTCTGCACTACTGCCCGTCGCTACTACCCTCATCCTCAACAGCCCGCTAAGGGATCGGGGCATGCTGGGGGCAGAGGGGCTGGGGCCCCAGGGTCACCGCTCCGGCCTGGCTCAAGACAGCTCTCTCCAGGGACCTCCACCTCCACCTTCCCCTAGAGCTGTTTCAGCCCCGTCCCCGGCCCTGGCCCCCCTCGCTGCCCTGCCGTCCCCAGAGACTTACAGCGCGAGGGACCGCTGGGTCACGGGGGTCACGGAGGGTCCCAGAGGGTCCCGGAGCTGGAGCCAGAGCCAGAGCGGCTGCCCTGTGTCAAGGGAGAGGGGCAATGAGTGAGGCTCCCTGGCGGGGCGGGGTGGGGCCCTGGCTAGCTATGGTGTGGGACCCTGCTCACCTGGCGCGTCTTGGCCGACGTCTCAATGTAAGGGATGCCGTAGCTGCGGGCGAGGTCCTGAGCCTGCCGAGACTCCACAGTGCGCGCAGCCAGGTCACATTTGTTTCCCACCAGCACCATAGGCACATCATCCGAGTCCTTCACCCGCTTGATCTGTTCCCTACAAGGAGGAGGGTGTGAGCTAGCTGGCAGGCTGCAGGCATGGCTGCAACCAGGCACACAGAGCAAGGACAGGGAGGCTTCCAAGGGTGGCAGGCAGCTCACCGGTACTGGTGAATGTCCTCAAATGACTTGGTGTTGTTGATGGCGAACACGCAGAGAAAGCCCTCCCCGGTGCGCATGTACTGGTCCCTCATGGCGCTGTATTCCTCCTGGCCCGCCGTGTCCAGAATGTCCAGCAGACACGTCTCCCCGTCAATGACCACTTGTTTCCTGTAAGAGTCCTGTGGGAGAACACTGCTCAGGGACACCCGCCCTCTGGGGATGGGGCGTGGGCACCACCAGCCCCTCCCTGCACCTCTTGTGACCCCAGGTCCTACACCAAGGGGACCCTCCTGTAGGGCAGGCAGAGAACAAGCCCACTAGAGGATGCAGGGCTGGGATGAGGAGCTGGCCCGCTCACCTCGATGGTGGGGTCATACTCGTCCACGAAGTGGTTCTGGATGAGCTGGATGGTCAGGGCACTCTTCCCCACACCTCCAGCACCCACCACCACAAGCTTATATTCCGTCATTGCTCCTCAAGGGACTGCAGCACGACGCACTGTGGTGGTCTCCTGTCCCACCTGCCGAGGAAGCCCTGTCAGCCACGCCCAGGCCCCACAGGGAAGACCTGTTGAGCTCTGGGCCCCAACATCCAAGTAAGAGGGGTGGCAGCCAGAATGATGGCCCACGGCCCACCGCCCACCTGTGGCACCTCCAGCTCAGGGGTGGGAGAGGGGTCCCGCCTCCTGCTGCACTTAGTGACTGTCTGAGAGAGGCAGGAAGCTGGCCCCCCAAAGGCACCCTGACAGATGAGAGTATCTCCCTACCAGGCACCCAAATTAGAAGTTGCTGGGTAGGCAGAAAGCCTGAACTGGAGGTGCCCAGGGCTGAGGTTACAGTGCCCCCTCCCTACAAGAACAGGTCCTGCCATGGCGGAGCGCACAGCAACGTGCCCAGGCAGGCCAGTGCCAACCCGCAACCGGTTCCCGGCCCCACCGAGAATGTGGGTGCATTCGACAAGTACTACTGAGTGCCTACTACGCGCCAGGAGCTGTTCCAGGCACAGGGCCACAGGCAGAGAAAGAACCCAACCCCCTGCCCTGGTGGGCTGGGCCCGGCTCGGAGGAGACCCGCACAGTTAGAATAAGGGGAAGCCCGCGGTGTCCTCCTGCCCTGGGAACTTTGGAGAAAACAAGGCAGGTGAGGCGGCCAGGTAGGGCAAGGGTTCCGGAGACACACAGGTCAGCCAACAGGAAAAGACCCAAAGGAGGTGTGGGAGCGAGAGACAAGTGGGAATGAGAAAGGGCCCGAGGCCCAGGCCCCAGCTAGGGTGTCTCCAATTTCCGATTTTAACGGGGGGTGCCCTGGGGAGGACAGCGGACTTCCTACCCCTCAGGCCCGCCCGCTGTGCCGGAGCTCTTCGGAGGGTGGGAGACCCCGCCTTGAGCGCGGTCACGGGCGGGATCGGCGCCGAGGCGCACCGCACACTACCCGAGCGCACTCGGGGCGCCGAGGAGGACAGG